AACAATTCCACAAAGAGATAAAATGCACATTTTATAAATATTGTAGACAATAACAATTACATTTTCTGTTTCATTTCAGACTGATCAGGTATAACTTCACATTGCTGAAGACCAAACACAGAAAAGAGATACCAAAGAAGCAGAAATCACTGCCAACAAAAGGCAAATTCACAAGTATGTGTTTATGTTGGTTATGTGGAAGAACATATTGCAGCATTTTTATCAAGCTCTCCAAGATTCAGAAGTAAATTTAAAGACATGCAAAGATCTCTATCAGCCATTTACAGAGCATTTACATAATTTAAGAGAAAATTTTGAAAACAAATACTGTCAAATAATGATTATCAAATAACTCACCATCGCAGAGGTGTTAGAAAGAAACAAGTAAATGGTTGAAGTGCCCAGAAGTATCACTGAGCACCAGAAATCAATTTTACATAACCACATAGTACACCATCATTGACACACTTGAATCTTGCATGGAAAGGGCAAAGGGTATGAAGTTCTTTAAACACACTTTCTTTATTAAACAATGTGGACATACCTGATGAGGAATGCATGAAGACATCCAAGAAATTTGTGCAGACTCATCCTGCTGGCTTCAATACAAACCTTTACGGTGAAGTGTGACAATTTCAATCTTACATGAGAATTAAGTTTACAGATCTAGGAAAGACTAATTTTATTCATGTAGGCATGTATGACTCCCTAATAGAAGATATTTCTAATGTTGAAATTGCTTTATACATATTCCTAATTTTAATGATCACCAACTGCACAATAGAACATTCATTTTCATCCTTAAAGGAACTTAAAAAACTCTCAGCATATAACAATGATTCCAGAAAGACTATTGATTATCCTTATTATGTGTGGAAATAAATATTGTTTGGCAGCTCAATTGTGACAGTATCATTGAAAAAATTTTAAGAGCAAAGACTAGAAGGAAGTGTTTATAATTATAACATGTTAGACATGAAAGAGTTATCTAAAAATAAAAAACAAACACTCCCTGGCTTATGAACAACACCCACTCACCCTTTAAACTTATATAAATTTGCCCTCACTTTGAAATGAGCTCTGGTAGTGCAGTGCCTAAGGCATTTGACTGTTAACCAGAGGGTTGGCGGTTCAAATCCACCAGCCACTCCTCAGAAGGAAGACTGGGCAATCTATATCCGTAAAGATTTACCTCCTCAGAACCCAAAGGGAGTCATTATGTGTCAGAATGGACTCAATGGCAACGAGTTTGGTTTGGCTTTGTTTTGAAATTATTCAATCTGCCCCTACTAGCAACAAATTCTTCATCCCAATCACCTTCACTTGCACTGCACTGTGCAGTTTTTCAATAATTGAAAAGGCTTCCAACTTCTTGCACTAAAGTAAGGCTACATTAAGAGCCATAAACACTTGATCCAACTTACCTACAGATTCTTTTAAAAAAAAAATATTTGCTGTGATTTGGGTGAAAGGTTACAAAACAAGTTCACTTTCCATATAGCAGCTCACATACACTTTGTCTCATAACATTGACTGCAATTTCCCACAAGGCAACAGCTCCCCTCTAACTTCATCCCCATAGTTACCCTTTCCCTAAGTCCTTCCCTCCCATCTACTCCTGCCCCCGAGCTGTCTCCCTATGCATACACAGCCCTTCTATTCTCCCATGATTGATCTCTCCAAGGAGTGTATCTACCTAATGTAAATGTTCACCTCTTATGCCTGTCTTTTGTTTGGCTGGAAGCCACAGGAGTGGGTTCAATTCCAGACCTGAGGGGCAGCTAGGGGCCATAGTGTCAGTGGTTTCATCCACTGAGAGGGTTGTTTTTTTGTTTTTTTTTTTAATGATTTTGAGTTTTGCTCCGCATTGTTCTCCCACTCTGTTCAGGATCTCCTACATAGATCCCTCTCTGAGTGGTTGACGGTGGTAGCTGGGCACCATCTAGTTCTTCTGGTGTCATAGTTGTGTAGGCTTTGGATCGCATGGTGTACCAGTGGCTTGGACTAGTTGTTTCCATGAATCTTTGGTTTTCTTCATTCTTCTTTGTTCTGGACAAGGAGAGACCCATCACTGCATCTACATGGCCACTTAGCAGCTTTTATGATCCCAGTCACTACTAGCCAAAGTAGGATGTGGAACAATGTTTTGTGTAGCATGTTATCCCAGTTGAGCTTGATGTTCCCTGCAACTATGGTCCTGAGCCCACAAGTCCAACTACTCACTCCCTCTAGGTAGCTGGCTGTGGCCAAGAAGTGACTACAACCTTGTCCTTTGTCAGCTTTATTATAGACCTGGGAATTCTTACGGAACATACAAATATGCTTGTAGAAACATTGTGTTGCAATCCTATACATGGTCATGGACACATTCCCCCCTTCATAGACATAGATAATAGTTCAGCCTGTCCATCCATCTATCCACCCACATATCAATGTTTGCCTTTACTGACAACGCAGCACTGTATGTGCAAAAGGGTTCATCTATGTTGTCTGTACGTCCCATGCATCTCTCTATGTCTTCCTCTTCCTCAATGCCACCATGTTGATCACTCACATTTGGTACATTGCCCTTCTCCTCGCCCAAATCAATACTTGTCTCTACTTATCTAACACTGTTCCTTTCCCTCCCCTCCCACCCCTGGTAACTAACAAAGAAAACTTCCTTCCATATACAAACCTTTCCTTGACTTTTTACAAGAACAGGCTAATACAATATTTGTCCTTCTGTGATTGACTTATTTCACTCAGCATAATATCCTCCAAGTTCATCCATGTTGTGTGGTGTTTTGATGATTCTGTGTAGAAAAGATTGAGGTTGTCAAAGACTTCACGTTGCTTGGTTCTACAATTGACGCCAATGGAAGCAACAGTCCGGACATTAGACGACACATAGCACTGGGCAGGTCGGCTGCGAAGGAACTCTTTCAAGTGCTAAGGAGCAAGGATGTCTCTTTGAGGGCTAAGGTGCGCCTGACAGAAGCCATGGTATTTCCAATCGCCTTGTATGCATGTGAGCTGGACAATGAATAAGGAAGACTGAAGAAGAGTTGATGCTTCTGAGTTGTGATGCTGGTGAAGAATGCTGAAAGTACTGTGGACTGCTAAAAGAACTAACAGATCTGTCCTGGAGAAAGTGCAGCCGAAATGCTCTTTGGAAGCGACAATGGCCAGACTTTGTCTCACCTACTTTGGTCATGTTGTCAAAAGGGACCTTTCCTGGAGAAGGATGTCATGCTTGGTAAAGTGGAGGGTGGACAAAGGAGGGGAAGGCCTTCAACAAGATGGATTGACATGGTGGCTGCGACAATGGGCTCGAGTATAGCAAGGATCATAGAGCTAACGTAGGATCAGGTGGCATTTCGTTCTGCTGTGCATGGGGTCACTATGAGTTGGAAATGACTCGACAGCACCTAACAACATGTTATTCTTTAGGGCTGCATAGTATTTCATTGTGTGTATGTACAACAGTATGGTTATCCATTCTTCTGTTGATGGGCACCTAGGTTATTTCCATCTTTCTGCTATTATAAATAACACTGCAATGAACATGGGTGTGCATGTATCTGTTCTTGTCCTGGCTCTCACTTCTTTACAACTTATCTACAGAAGGGACTTTTAATCACAGGAGAAACTGTACTTATTTTGACCAAATTGAGTGTTCAATTTCCTATTTAACCTCATATCAACCCTTTATACTTAAAGAGGTTCTTCCACTACTTCGATATCAAGTTTATCTTTCCCAGCAATTTCTTAATCTTATTCAAGTGTTTGCGTGCTCAGCTTCTGTTTTATATGTTGTTGTTGTTGTTGTTTGCCGTCGAGTCGGACCCGACTCATAGCAACCCCTCCTAGGGTTTCCGAGGCAGTATCACCACGGAAGTAGATTGCCTCATCTTCTGTTTTATAAGAGTCCAAATTAACATTTTTACCTTTTTAATATTAATTTTGTTATAATTTATTGAACCTCTATATGCTAGACATTGGCGTGACACTTCACAGTTTTGTTTTGCTTTTTAATACGGTGGGCACTATTAATTCCATTAGACAGATCTGAAAACTGAGGGACAGTTGTTGCTCAGGTAGGTAACCGTTGGCAGTCAGGCTTCTGACCTCTGGTGGTGGGTTCTGTGTAGGAGAATTTGGAAATTATATCAAAGAGTATATTTCTCATAAAGGAGCTTGTAGTTTTTTTTTCTTGTAGTCCAGTCTAGCCTGCAACAGGTCAAAGAACTGTCCGTTTAGTCATCTGTGGTTCTTCTAATATTAATTGTTTCTGCCGGGGCCAAATAAACTGCAAATCTGTGAGAAGCAATGAAGAAGCCGTGGGTATGCGATGAGAAACTTTTGCGGAGCCAATCATTTGCAATCCTCTTCCTGAACCAACGGTCCCCGAGAGGGGGCCCCAGCCCGCGCGGTAGATGCCTCACAGGACGCGGGTTTCGGGGTCACCAGTTTTATCTTTCAGTGTTACCTGCGCACCCGGCCTAAGTCAATATTTACAAAGCGCCGGCTGCAAGGGTGTTGGAATTCCGCTGCGGTCGGGCCCTATTGCCTGACTCTTGGAGGTCCAGGCTTCTGAAAGCAAGGTTTGCCCTTGAGCTGAGTCCACGCTCCCTTCTCCCGGCCACTCTCCCGGGCCTAGGGGAGCGCGGGAAGGAGAGAACTCTGGGGCGGAGCCTGCCAACCAAAGTCCCCAACCCGGGGACGTCACGGTCCCAGGTGTTTGTGCAATCGGGGCGGGAACCCACCCTGCGCCTCCCTCCTCCGCAGAATTCCCCACCTACGTGCGAGCGGCTCAAGCCGGCCCCAGGCTCCATTTTCTCGTGGCCGTAGCCACACCTGGTGCCGCGCCTCAGGTCAGGCGGCCCTCGGGAGGGGAACAAACTACTCGAGCGCCCACCCTCTGGGCTGGGGCGCCTGGCGTAGCCGAGGGCTTGCTCGCAAGGACACGGGACAGCTGGCGACACGAAGCTGGGCGAGAGGCCGGAGGCGAGGGCGCGATGGCTCGCAGCCTGGAGGACGCCCGGCGCCCGTGCGCCCTGCTACTTCTCCTGGTAAGTGCCGGCGAAGTAGACCAGGCCCCGCGGCAGGGAACGGCACTGGCGGTGCCAGGGTCGCGCCCCGACCTGCCTGCTCCTACAGTGCCAATTACCTGCCGCCCGGCGCCGCCTGTTTCTGCTTGGAGGTGGGAAAGGGCGGGCTGGCTGCCGCAAGATCGACGCTGGGATTTCGGGAAAATTGCTCTGCTAGGGCTGAGGAGGGTGGGTTGGAACTTGCCTAAAGTTCTGTAGTTCTTTCCGTCACACCCAGGCCCCAGCGCCTTTTTGTAAATCAAATCTGTGAGTGCAGTGAGCCCTGGGGCTAGGAACATCCTTACTGGAAAACAGAGACTTTATTTGGACTCTGCTCCACAAGAAACAGGAGGTAGTTGGTAGCAACATCATAGAACTTTTCTCAAGCTCGTTAAGGTACGAGTAGATTCTCTAATCACCGGTACAAGTCAGTGAACAGGACAAATAACTAAAGTACCTGTATTCTTAGACTGCTAACAAAAAGCGGGGCGGTGGGTGGTGCTAGCTGCCCTCGAGTCGTCTCCAACTCATAGCAACCCTATGTACATCAAAACGAAGCACTGCCCTGTGCCAGGCTCACGATCCTTGCTATACCTGAGCCCATTGTGGCAACCACTGTGTCAATCGATGTTGTTGAGGGCTTTCCCCTTTTTCGATGACCCTCCACTTTACCAAGCATGATACGCTTCTCCAGGGAACGGTCCTTTCTGACAGCATGAGCAAAGGAGGTGAGACGAGTCTGGCCATTCTCACTTCCCAGGAACTTCCTTATCAATAGCAGTGAAACTAATGTATTACTGGGGGAAAAGGGGGAGGGGGTAGTACCTGCAGTAGAGATTTTTAAAAATGTCTTTACAAAGTTGAATTTTTAAGAGATGGATTTAAGAAGAAATAAAATAAAAACCAGCATAAAGATAGCTTTAAAAAAAATAAAATTCACAAAGTTGATTTTCTAAAACAATTTTCTTAGTACAAAAGATGATGAATATATGTAATAGTTTCAGACTTTCTCATTTAATTTCATTTAATACATTTGGGTTATAGAGCCATAGTGAAGGGGAGTTCAGCAGTTACTCTTAAATACCAAGGCTTCAACTGTGGGGAAACCGTTTTCAGTCTGTAGATTTCTTGTGTTGGTTTCTACTCTTGGATTTTAAACTGTTTCCTTTGCAATTTTGGCAAAGGGATTGCACTTCATTAAGAAATATGTCTGGTTAGTTAAATGGGCTTTGATTAAAGTGGCAGTTACTAGCTAATAATATAGGCATGGGTTCACCTGCCAAAGATTTTACCGATATATGTTCAGACACTAGATATAAAATCATACCCAGTTTTCTTAATTATTGGTTAAAATTTAAAATCCAAGTACATTAACTCTATTAAACGTTCTCATCTCTCCCTGAATTGTAGAGGGTTGTTGTTGTTGTTATGTGCCATCAAGTTGGACCTAACTCATAGCGACCCCTCCTTGGGTTTCCGAGGCAGTACCACTGCCCTAGCTTCCTTCAGAGGAGTGGCTGGTGGGTTTGAACCACCAGCCTTTTGGTTAGCAGTCAAGTGCCTTAGCACTAAGCTACCAGAGCTCCTTATAGGGGGTTAGGGGAGGTGGAAAAACTACCCCAGGCAGCACAAATGGTTGAGCACTTGGCTGCTAAAGGTTGGGGTGGTAGTTCGAAGCCACCCAGTGGTACCTTGGAAGAAAGGCCTGGTGATCTCCTTTCAAAAGATCATAAACTCAAAAAAAAAAACCAAAAAAAAACTCACTGCCATCGACTCAATTCTGACTCATAGTGACCCCCTTTCGGTTTCCAAGATGGTAAATCTTTACAGAGGTAGATTGCCCAATCATCCATGGAGTGTCTGGTGAGTTTGAACCACTAGCCTGTCTGGTTAGCAGTCAAATGCCTTAGGCACTATGCCACCAAAGCCCCCATATATATATAAGGCTGGTAGTTCAAACCCACCAGGCACCAGGCACTCTTCAGAAGGAAGTTTGGGCAATATACTTCCATTGTGATGTTGCCTTGGAAATCCAAGGAGGGGGTCCCTATGAGTCAGGTCCAACTCAACAGCACATAGCAACAACTATATATATATATATAAAATAACAAAACAGGAAAAAAATGATCAAACCCAGTCTAGTGATTTCAATGAATGCTCATTTACAATGGTATGATTATTAAGGCCTCCAGAACTTTGGCATGCCAGTTTATTTTCATATTCTATTTGAGATTTTGTACCCAAATTCATTGAGTTAATAAAACTTTTCTAATGGGCAGTCTAGTTCCCTAGAGATATAGCCTCAGAAACCCAAGGAGGTGTCGCTATGAGTCAGATCTGACTCCAAGGCAGTGAGTTTGGTTTGGTTTGGTTTTTTTAAGATGTAATTTTGAGATTGGGCCTTCAGGCTAACAGAGGAACTAATCCCCTAATATTGATGCTTCGTGGCTAAATAGAATACTAGGCTAACATAGCTACTGCCTCACTTTGAGGGTTAAATATTAAATTTTTTCCATGTAAAAAAAGGAATTTACCTTTAGTACTTAAATGGAATAACAAGCAAGCCAATTCAAGTACATTCACAGAGAAATAGGTAAATTATTAAGGCATATTTTTCACTTTAGCATTTCACTATCTTTACTTTGTTGAGCTCTGGTAGCATAGTGCCTAGGCACTTGACTGCTAACCAGAAGACTGGAGGTTCAAACCTACCAGCCACTCCTCGGAAGGAAGGTTGGGCAATCTACTTCCGTAGTGATACTGCTTCGGGAACCCAAGGAGGGATCGTTATGAGTTGGGTCCGATTTGACGGCACGTAACAACAACAACAACAACTTTATTGGGTAATAATAAACTTTCAAGTTCATTATGGCAAATGAACAGGAGCAGAATTCTTGGACTATTATTCTATGTATGTTCTATTAATCCCTTCTGTGATATAAATTGTTTACTTTTGGTCAAAAGTGAGCAGTTCGGCTTTTTGCCCCGAAATGTGTTTGAAGCTGGAAGTCTTTGGTAAACAGTGAAAAATAATCATCTGAGAGAAGTAGTTGCTAAGGAGACAAATCATTCATAGAGTATGTAAACACCAGTCTATATGGGTCAGAGTTCTGTTACAGATAACAAAATTCACTCTGGTTAGTTAAAGCAGGAAGGGATTGATTTCAGGCAGTAAGTTGGTAACATAAGTCTAGGGAGGACTGAGCAAACAGGAACCTGTTTAAACGCTCAGTAATGATTTTAAAGCCACCAGAGCCCAGCCCTAGGAAGTTGCTGCCTCTCCTCTGATCAGGAACCACACTGCCACTCCTACAATATGGAAACTGCTGTGATCAGAAGTTACTTTTGCTGCCAGCTCAAGAACCATGACACATCTGCTAGGATGCGTATCAGGAAAATGGATGTTTGTACCCTCCCCTTGGTGCACATGAATCTAGTAACTATACTCTAGGGCCATAGTAAAACTGATGTAGTAACACCTCCACATCTATGTTGCCTCCACATCTATGTTGCCAGCAAGAACAGCAGGTACACAGCCTCTGCTTCACATCCTTCTTTCAAATCTCATGTAAATATTAACTAGTTAACATTCAGAACCATGGTTGCAAAAGAGCCTAATATATGGATTTTAGATTTCTTCTGCAGTACAGGAAGGCACATGGCCATTATGCGGTCATTTAGGCCAGATCTGTCAAAGTATCTGCATAAAGCTGGAGCATACTTCCTCTTCACGTGGTCTTAACCTGGAATCCACCAACTTCCAAAGGATCCAGGACAGAATTCAGTAGGTCCTTAGAAGTGGATGGGAATCAATTGCATATATATTTTCATTAACCTTTAACTGAAAATTTCACATTTCTTTAAGTATGAGTGTAGGAAAGACACTGCATTAGAATTCGCAATGACTTTGCACCAGTAGAATTCACAAATATTTTCACATCATATTGCAGTTATTACAGATATTTCAAAATGCTATTTGTTCTCATCATTACCAGACTTTCCACTAGGTCTTATTATTTAATATGTTAATAAAGGAGCAGTATTATTACTATGCCCAGCCCCCCAAAGCCAGGAAAGGAAGGGTGCTGCCAGGGACCACAAAGTGGCAGGATCCAGGTAGGAATTAAGTAAGGGGAGGGCAGAGAGATTTCCAACAGCTAAGGGAGACAAACTTGTCTGTCAGTTTGACATCTTGTGGGGCTTGCACATTGCTGTGAAGCTTGAGGCTGTGCCACCAGTGTCCCAAACACCAGCAGGATTGCACATGGTTTCAACACAGCTTACAAACTGAGACAGACCAGGAGAAAAAAGAGGCCATCCACTTCTGAAAAATTGGCCAGGGAAAACCTTATAAATAGCAGAGAAACACTCTCTGATACATTACTGGGCAACTTCATGAATAGCTTGGAAATATTGTCTGACACAGTGCAAGAAGATGAGCCCCTTGGATTGGAAGGCACTCAAAATACGACTGACAAAGAGTTGCCTCATCAGAGTAGAACCACCCTCAGTGATATAGATAAAGTAAATCTTTCAGGACCTCCATGTGCTGACGTGGCATGACTCAAATTCAAGAGAAATAGCTGCAAACATCCTTAATAATCAGAACATGGAATGTATGAAGTATGAATCTAGGAAAACGGGAAATTGTCCAAAATGAAATGGAATGCATAAAGATTGATATCCTAGGCATTAGTGAGCTCAAATGGACTGGTTTTGGCCATTTTGAATCAGACAACCATATGATCTACTATGCAAGGAACGACAAGTTGAAGAGGAATAGTGTGACATTCATCATCACACAGGATGTTCAAGATCTGTCCTGAAGCACAATGCTGTCAGTTAGGATAATATCCATACACCTACAAGGAAGACCCATTAATATACTATTATTCAAATTTACACACCAATCACAAAAGCCAAAGATGAAAAAATTGAAGATTTTTATCAACTTCTGCAGTCTGAAATTTATTGGATGTGCA